GAGAGCTTGCATATTCTATTAGGCAGAGTTGCCTTCATTTGTACAAATTAGTTTACCCAACAGTAATTAAAATGCCAGTGCGGGTCGGGGAGAGCTGAATACAATTGATGGGCACGTTGGTGAAGGATTTGACAGCTCCGGTGGCCTCCCTTGCCAAAGCGTGTCAGTGCTGAATCAAAGGCTACACAAACCCACAGACCCGTGTGTTTAACCCACGGCACTGTCAGCACCAACTGCTTTCTCTCTTCTCCACTCTCTGTTTTGGACTTGCTTTCTCTTCTCCTTCTTTTCTCATCTTATTTGAGACTTTTTAAAAAAGGTGTTTCCCACCTTTGAGCTGTTCTTTCTGTTGATCGCTGTCATAACGCTGCTACTAGCCCCCCTATTCTGTCTCCCTTGGTGCTCCCCCTCCTCTCCCCGTCTTCCACATTCCCAGCTGCAGGGCTCTGTCAAGTAATAACTTCTTTGTTTCCCAGTCCAATGAGTCTCCGTATATAATAGTCTCCAAAATGGAACAACGATGTCCAATTCCAGGGGGCGGGGGAGCGTGCGAGGAGGAATGAACAGGGTCTTACACGTGTCAAGCAGATTCTGAATTTGAAATCCCCAAAGACCAGAATAGGACTTGAGAAGCAATCTGTTTACAGTACAGGGGAAGGGCACAAGCCTGGGGCACAGAGGAAGTCTAGGGAGAAGTTGGAAAGGTCCTGTTTCACCCAGGTTCCTTCAATGACTTTGCATTGCAGGATTCCCAGCTCAGGCAGAGCCTACCCTGAAGGCTGGGTCGACAATGAGGAAGGTATATATCATACAGTGGGATTTGTATCTCAGAGCTGAGGCTGTTTCCAAGCCTTATGACAAACAGCATCTTTCCAAAAAGACTGATGGGCAGCTGCCTCTCTCCCTCTGGTTCATCCACATCTGGCAATCTTCTGTCCAGGATGAGGTAAAGAGGGATGCTACAGGTGGGGTGAAACTGTGTAGTTGGCACCTTGGGAGCAAGCGTGGAATCATTGCAGCTGGACTGTAGCCAGAGCACTATTGCTGTTGCCAGAAATGCCATGGGATCTTCAACAACCACAAGTCAGGTGGAGAGAAGTTCTTGTGTTTCTTCCAACAGCACTGCCAAGATGTGTGTTCTCTCTCATTCCCTGGCCCAGCTTCTATTTTGGGGGGATGATCTCTAATGAAGTGTCTCTTCTGTAGCATAGAGAATGTCTGGCTTCAGAAGAAGCAGTTTCCTCTTTCTTTTTTTTTTTTTTTGTGTGTGGTTTTGTTTGGTTTTGTTGGGTTTTTTTCTTTTTTTCTGTTTTCCTTTTCTCCTCCTCAGAAGGAGTTTCAAATGAGAAAGACAACATCAAAGTATCAGATAAGTTGGAAATGCCTCACTTTGGACAACAAAAACATGCTGTGTATGAAGTATGTGTGTCTCAATGCTCTGCAAAATCCTCACCTTCCTGGTACAGCAAAGGTAGAAATGTTATGTTGGCTTGCTTGTTTTTACTTCCTGGGGGATCCCTGTGAAGACAACATGCCCTGTTATGGAAGCCCTGCGATGGTGCTCATTTTCCTGTTGGAGGAGCCTTTTGGAGGGAGCTTGTAGTCATGGTACCCAGCAGCTTTCACAGGGCAGAGGAAAGCTTAGTGGGGAAGGGGCTTTGCACCTCCAAGGCCGTCTGAAGCTTGGACACAGCAGTTTTTATGTAACATGTAGATGCATCTCGTCAGTGTCTGTGTATATCAGTAGTATCATATATACTTCAGAGAGATGGGTCATCCCTGCAGTGATATATGTAGGGTATCTTGTACTCTCCTCTTCCCAATCTATTCTCTCATCAGTCTCTCTGACTCCTGAAAGCATTGTAGGCAAAATAAATGACACTCACTAAGCTAGTAACTCAGCTTGAGTTGTCTCTCTTGGGCAGCTGGCAAGAACAGTTGTGGAGAGGTTGCAGTTCTCTAGGTCAGAGGTTTTTGGTGTGTGCTCTGTGCTTCCTAAGACAAAAATCCTTGTTGAAGGTCAACTGAAAGAAACAAGCCTAGTAGAAGACTTCAGTTTTGCTGAATGATGTTTCAGAAGTTTTGTAGCCAAGCTTTATGTGCTTAGCTCCAATTTGCATGTTGTTTTAAACCTACTAAAGCTGACTTCTGTTGCCCATTTGCTTGGACTAAAACTGTCACCTGTGTGAGGTTCCCAATTATGAGAGGCCTGGAGGTTGAAGGTGTATGCCTGCAGACCAGACTCATGGTGCGGGGCCCTGTGTCATCCCCTGGGAATCCAGACTTCCAGGTCAGTGTGCTCCCAGGCTTTGACAATTTCTCGTTGGCACCACTTCTTGTATGTGTCTTGTGAATGCTCCTTTCTAATCCTGGCAGTGAAGGTGCCCTGCTCTTCTGGGAGAAGTCTTATCATTCCTTGCTAATGGGCTTCAGCCTGTTAAAGATAAGGCCTGCAA